ATTACATTGATGGCCTTAGAATAAGCAGTCCCTGGAATGTAGAGAGGCAGAGAAACAAAACCCTCCATAAATGTGAGAAAATCTTCAAGTATATTTGCAGCAAGTGGATCCTCTGGCTCAATGCTCACCAAATTTTTCAGCATAATGTAAAAAGTTAGCTGCACACAAAATAAAATTAAAGTACATTTTCATAAGTAATTAATTAATCACAAATATATATGTAAACTTAGATAAAGAAAAGAATAAGTGAACAATTGATCATTCTTGCCTCTTTAGCTTCTTTAAAGAAAAGCACTTGTGTTTTTGCTCTCCACGAATCGACTAAGCAAACGCACAACTTGTCGACATAATCAAGAAAATCAGGCCTCGATTTTGAACCGTTAATGAATCCAACGGCTACACTTCTAAGCTTCTTATGAAGATCTCCCGAGACCAACATCATCGATAGTTTTCCGAGAATGTCGTGGATTGGCTTAGGATAGCTGCTCCGAAAAAGCCTTTCCTCGTTTTGAAGTACGAACATGTTGAAATCGTGATCACACGAAACTATTGTCGGGCGGCCGAATAGATGGGATTTGAAGACTCTTCCATACCTTACAATGATAATAATTTTATTAACAACAAATGGCAATATAAATAAATTAAAATGGGTATATTATTTATATAATTAATTACCTGGAGCAATGTTGTTGTAAGAATGTGCCTGGGGAATTTGATTTGTGTGGCTTGAGAAAAGATAAAGTTTCACCTAACAAAGGCAAGTAGAACATGCTTCCATTTGGTGGTGGTGTTGCAGTTTTTTGTCTGAAAATGGAAACTTTGAAAAGCTTGCAAATTGCAGTGATTCCTAACAAAAAAGCCAATGCCATAGGCAAAAATGCAGCCATTATTATTTTTTTTTTTTCTATTTAATTAGTGTGTCTCATGGAAATGCAGCTAATGTGATGTGCAACCTTTTGCAAAAGTATGTTGAGGTGTTAGGCTTTAGATATATTTATATATATAGCTTAAAATATTAGAATTTATTTTTGGTGAAAATTTTAGTTAGATTGTGTCATTTTATAATGTGTATGGAATATTTCCAACTTCCCCTTAATCTATGAACATGTGATTGGTTACATTGTTTATATGGTTTGATAATAAAGAGTAGTGTTTAATGTGTTATTTAATTAGGTCCTGTCCTGGCATTGAATTTGCCTTTTAGAAGTCAATTGAGAAACTTTATCCACTGATGATTTTAGTAATTTTCATATTAGATGTTTTAGTTATAGAGTGGTGTTAATGTGTTACTTAATTAGGTCCTATCCATTCCTGACATTGAATTTGCCTTTTAGAGGTCAATTGAAAGAATTTATTCTCTACTGATGATTTCAGTAATCTACATTTAATCTAATAGTTCTCCTTCCATTGGCATTGGATGCCAAGATTGAATGAAAAGGGACTTTTTATCTTGAAGTCAATTAGTTTCCAACTAAGTAGATAATGATAATATTATTTTACAAGATAATAATAAATTCTAAAAATCAATCACATAACGTGTACTTTGACATGTGAATATACTAAATCATGTTAAATAGTAGCTTGAGATTGAGAATTTTATAGTATCACGGTTATAGTTGAATGAAATTTGATAGGAATGTTATGAATTGAAAATTGAAATGGCTACCGAAAATAATTGAAACAAGTATTTTTCATTGATTTGTTTGTTATGTAGAAAGAGTAAGACGTGAACGGAATGTTAATATCATCATATACTATAATCTATCAGTATTTTATTAAAAAAATAATTTTGATATTTATATTAATGTTATTTATATATATATATGATAATATCAATATTATTCTTATCTACAAAAATATATATTTAAATAAATATTTTTTTTATATTACTACACTCATCTTATATAATAAATAAGTGAATTATTTATTTATATTAACATATTATTACGACATTAAGTAAATCCCTATAAGCAAATGCAGTTATATATAATTATTTATAATTTAATCAATTTATGAATAAATATATAATATTATGATTGTATAAAAATAAAAATAAGATTTATTTAAAGTATCTATAAATGAATCTTGTTGACGGGCGTTTCCGATCAACGGTTAAAAAGTCAAATGATGTAAAGAAAACGAAGAAAAGACGAGGAAATACGGTTTAATTACGGTTTTATTGATAGATCACGAGTTCGGCCTCTCGTACGAGGTCGGCACTTGCGATATACTTATGTTGCTTACAAGAATTTCTTACAAGTTCTTTAGAGAGAGAAAATATGGGCTCGAGTAGTTGGGATTTCAACAACCCAAAAATAAATAAAGGGGTTGCTATTTATAGGAGGCTTTAATGCGGTACTGTTTGGGTACTGTTCAGCGGTCTTGTCGCACAGTAGCTCAGAGGGACAAACCGGCGCTTCTTTGACTGATTGAGAGTAATTCCCGGATTCTTCAATCATTACCTGCCATACATTTAATGCGAACGTGGGCTGCATTAAATGCGGACACGTTCTGGCTGAGCTGGACGTCCCATCGGCAATCATTTGCAGACAAGTGGTATTATTTTACTGTATTTGAGATCGGATTTTTATCCGGGGCCGTCTTGGTGAGACTTCCGACGGAATGCCGACCTCGTACCTTTACGTGTGGGGTGCCGAGTTCGGGGTCTGTTCCTCTCGCCGTTCTAGACGACTTTGACTTTAGGTCGGCTCGGCACCCACGTGCTACTATGTTGACCGGCACCTTTGACTCAGCCTGGCCATCGTTCAGTTATCGATATGCTGGACCGACTCCTCTTATTGGGGGCTGGACTCGGATATCAACATACAGGCCCCCGAGCTCGGGTGAGGTCCGCCGGACCTCTTCCGAGGTCGTCTTTGATCGATCGAATCCGAGTTGGACCCAACAAATCGGTACTAACCTCTCAAATCCGTGTTCGTCCCTTTCTAGGTCGGCGTCTTCACCACACTTGCGATCGTGGGGGCGCAGATGTTGGCAGTACGGAACGTGGGGCATAACGGTCATGGACGTGTGTTAACTGCATTCACATTAGGGGAGGACACGTGGCGGATTGAGGGCCAAGTATTCCGAACGGACGTAACGGTTGGCAAAAAGGGGCGACGGTTATCTTGTTCAACACTCTAGTTATTTGAGGAACCGTTTCGATTTTCGAATTTCAAAAGGCCCGTCCACGTGTCCTCTTCCGATTGGTTTGGGGAACCTTATATATATCTCTTTTTCGGATTTTCTCTTCACTTTTCCCAAGAACTTTCTGAAATTCCTCTCTTTTCGGATCTGTCGAGTTTTGCAATTTCCGAGCGTTTCTCAAGGACTTTTCCGACAACGATCTCCGGCGATTTTTCCGGTAATTCTCGTTTTACCCTTTCCTTCTCCTTCTTCCTTTTTCTTTGCGATGTCTTCTTCCCCAAAATCTGCGGGCGATGGCGGCGAATCCGCCGGTGAGGGCGCCGAGACTTTCTGGCCGGCGGACGTCATCCTTACAGCTGTCCCTATTTCAATTGTCCGACCGGACCCCCCGGCGGTGGAAGCCGTCTCCGGCGGCGGAGATGCCGAAACTAACCTTCCCTCGTCGCCGCTACGCGAGGGCGGTGGTGCCGACCAGGACCCTTTTGTCGTAGCTGAGGACGATGACGTCGATCTTGATTTTCTGGACACCGACTCCGATGTCGATCCAGATCTGGTTGAGGAGACCCTTCAAGGAGAAACCGGCGGTCGGGAGCGTGTCCCCATAGGGGACGCGTCGTTCGACGCCGCTCTCGAGGAGGTGACCGCTGTTCCTCCGGGCTTCTGGCGCCGACCCGAACGGATCCGGGCAGCACCTAGCCAGGCGACGGCCTGGAACACGGCGTCGATCTTGGACGATGCCGATCTGGCTCAGCTGAGGGGGAAGTTCAATTTCGGCTCCGGTGTTCGGTTGTTCGCACCGTATCCCGGAGAGCGAATTCATTGCCCGCCGCCGGGCTGCATAGGGGTCTACCGTCACAGCATCCACTTGGGTCTTCGGTTCCCCTTACCCAGCGCGCTCAACGATATCTTGTGCGGACTTGAGGTCGGCATTAGCCAGTACGTGCCGACGGTGTTTGCCCGCCTGATGAGTCTGATCGTCATGTATCGTCGCGAGGGTTGGGCCGACCCCACCGACGACGAGGTGAGGTCCTTGTTTGCTTTCAAGCGCGCTGGTGAGACCGGCAACTACTACAGCTCTGTGCTGCCCGGCATCGACAAGACGTTGGTGGCCAAGTTGCCCGAGACCCTGCACGGCTACATGCCACACTGGTTTTGGGTTGGCGGCGAGTGGAGGACCCCTGACGCTATTCGGCACCCGCCTACTCATTTCATTTCTCATACTCGTAAGTTTTTTATTTCCACATTCGTCACCAACTGATTTTTTCTCCTTTGTGCTAACAGGTCATACTTTGCGTTTTCAGTCCATACCCACAGCTCGGCACTCAGTCCGCGGTTGGCCGAACGACTCAGCACGCTGTTGGCGCGAAACGAAGAGGACCGCCGCTATTCCGTCCTTGTCAAAGAAGAGACTCTCCTCAACCACAACCTTAGCCCGGAAATTATCGACAAGTCCTTCGAACCAGGTAACTTCTTAACCCGGCTCGGCACTTCATTGATCTTTTATTCTTCGTGGCTTGTTCGGTACTAACCGCGCCCTTGGCTCTCTCCGCAGTTTACTACCCTCTTCTCAGGCTCAAAGGGTTCGATTCTGTGAAGGCTGCGAACAAACACCGCCGCAAACATCCAAATCCGCTCAAGACTAGAACGAAAGCTGCAATGTCTGGCCGTTTGAATCTCGCCAAGAAGAGGGCGGCGCTCAACAAGGAGCCGGCCCCGAAACCTGTCGATGTGCCGACCCCCGTGGAGCCGAGCACCATTCCTGCTGCCCCCCAGGCCCCTCGCGCCCCGGCACCGGAGCCGCGCATGACAAGGCGACGGGCTCGCGAGGCACCGGGCACGACCGTCGGCGAGGCCCCGGGTGCGGGCGGCGAGGGCCCGGCCGCGGCGAAGAAGAAAAAGGGTGCCGAGGCCGAAAGCTCGGGTCTCGCCCAGGAGAAGGACGCGCACATCCATCAGGAGGGGGCGAGCACCTTCGTCCCCATTGACGCCGAGCGGAGGGCCCGCTACGCTAAGTCCCTGCCCGGCTTCCCGGATGACTGGTTTTTGGACCTCCGCGCGGCCGAGGGGGTGGTTGTCCCCAACCAGTTCGGGGTTCCGGAGGAGATGATCAGGGCTGCTCGGCTCCCGTTGGTTGCTTGGACCCCGACTGCTCAGGCTGCCGCCACCCAGCTCTCCACCCCGGCGCTCATTCATCACGCGGCGGGGACCATCTCTCGCGCCTTGGTCGAGCTCGTCCAGGCTGCAGATCGGTCCCAGAGGGCCCTGGCCGACCACCGTAAACTGGAGGCCGACCACGAGCTCTGCCAGGGGAAGATTGCCTCCCTGAAGACAAAGGCAAAGCGGGCCTCCGAGCTGGAGAACCGCTTGGTGTTGGCTGAGGCCGAGGCGGCGAAGGCCAAAGAGAAAGAGTTGGAGGCTGCTCGGTCGCAGGCCAGGATGGCCGAGGAGCTGAGGAAGGAGAGGGCGGCCTGGGCGGCCCGAGAGTTTGAGCTGGGGGAGCAGCATGCCAAGGCTTTGACGGAGGAGTATGATCGGCACGTGGCCGAGATCGACAAGCTCCAGGCCCACGTCATCAGCCTCCAGAAGCAACTGGAAGCGCACACCGCCGAGCTGGAGAAGCACGTCATCCAGGATGCTCCAGAGGACGGCCGCCCCCACATTTCGCTTCGTCTGCCGACTTACTCGGAGGTCCAGGAGATATTCAGCAAGGATATAATGGCCGACATGGACTCCGGGGTCG